CCGGGGGAGCCCGAGGGGAGGCGGGAGGCCGCCCCGACACCGGGGCACGCCTAGGGCGTCGTGTGGGCAAAACCGGGGAGCGGGCTCTGCAGGGCGTCCGTGTGCGAGGGGCGGGCGGGGGAACGGCGAGAGACGGGGACCGGAGGGTGGAAAGGGGCGGCAGCTCAGCGAGGAAACCAGGGTGGATGTGGCGGCGTGAGGCGGGGAAGGGGGACTGCGAGGGAGGGCGAAACGGGACGGGACACGAGTGTGTAGCGTAGGCACAAGAATCCGTCCCTGGTGCTGGGCCATCCTGGGGGAATGGGAGGAGCGGGCTCCCTTCGGAGGATAATAAACTCTGGAATGAGGGTGTGGGCTGCTGCTTCTCGCTCCCCCCCTCATTCCAGATGCATGATGACACCACGTCCCACCATCTCGCTGCCTTCTCGGTTTTCTTTCTTTCCTTTTTTTTTTTTTTCCCAAAAATCGTATTATGAAGACAACCAAAAGTGGAACGTGTTCTGGGTGTGGCTGCATGTGATTTACCCAATAGCCAAAGTGGGGGGAACCGCTGAAGGGTAAAGACAGAGCGTCTGCTGCTGAAGGGAGCGGAGACCGAGGGCTGCAGTAAGTGATGGGGACCCTATCTATTCTCTCAATGCTCCTCAAGATGATTTAAAAGTAGAAGAGAGTAGAGGGAGTTAACAAGGAGAAATTTGCCTTTGTGTGCGTGCTGGGGGTGTGTATGGAGAGGGGCTTAGCCACCTGGATGAGAAAAGAGATGGAGACTGGCGTAAGGAGGTGGAAAGAGAAAGCAAGCTGATGGAGTTACACGTTCAGTCCAAAATATTTCAGAAACAGCTGGAAAACTGGCCAGATTAGGAGGGACACAGGTGGGAAGGAGGCTGGGAAGACCAAATGATCTTGAGGCAGCAATCAGAGAGTTTCTGTGCTTATCCCTGTTCCTGCCTGAGCTTTCCTCTGACTCCTCTCTCCTCCACTCCACAGGGATGAAGACCTCTGGAGCCTGTATACTGTTGTGTTTCTTAGCACTCTTCTTGTCCCCAGCTGGTGAGTCCTTATGCCGGGGGAGGATTTCTTCTCCACCCTGACCCTGCAGAGTTTCCTACGCAGGCTAATGTGCAATGCCCTAAGGAGAAAGACAGCGACATGTAGATGGGCAGTGAAGGGGGAAGGACCAAACACAAAAGACAAAGTGAATATAGGATTATAGGGAAAAATTTAGGAACTGGGGACTGATTCCCATAGGTATCCCCTCTCCAGTAAGTACTGGGAGTCACAAGAGACAGAGGTCCACAGCCTCCACTGCAGGGATCTTTGAGTAAGCAAAACGCCAGGTTGAGTTGAGAAAGAGGGTTAGCTGTGCTTTGTGCTTACTGTAGACTGTTGTACCACCTGTGTGTGCGTGATCTGCAGAGCATTTCCCAGTGCTCCACAAAACTTATTCTGTCATAGTTGTGAAACATTTGCTGTCACTAGTGGTTCCTGCTGGAATGGCCCCATTTCAGGCCACTCGCTTGCTGGGAGGTTTTGTAGTTTTTCGTATAGCTGTTCTGAGAAACGTAACCTCTGTAGCTCAAACCACTCTCTGCTTTTCTTGTTGTTGTTGTTCTGTTTTGTTGCTCCACTTTGTTTGCCCGGAGTTAGTTTGGCAAAAATTGAGGTGGGATCAAATTTGTTAAGAAAACCCCAAAACAAGAGGGCAGCATCAGACATTATAGTCGGAAGACTCAGGACAGAAAGCAAAAGAAGATTAATTCTAGTGAATGGAAAAAACTTCACCCAGGAAAGACTGTGTAGGAGACAGATGACTGCACCTATCACATGCAAATCAGGTCATTCCAATGTACTGTCCTCGGTCCTCCCCTCATGCTGAAGTCTGATTCTGCTCCCAGTAGAACTTTTTTTCCTGTAAAGGTGTACAGTAGAGGATGTCATGTTTGTGACTGTGAAACAGGAATGTGAGGCATCCAAGAGATGAGCTTGTAGGTGGCCTACAAATTTAGATGCAGAAAAAAAGGCTGTAGTTTTTATGATGTGTGAAGGAGGCCTGAAAAGAAGATTTCTTACCTTTGGGTTATTTTGTTTTATGATTTCTGGGTTTTTTTTGTTTCTTTTAACTTGGAAAATTAGAGGAATCACCAGCTGGTCTGTCATTGTCTTTTGGTTTTAGGTGAGCTACAGGTTTGGTGCAATAGGGTTGCAGTTTTCTCAGACCTCAAAGATTAATTTATTGCAACTTGGACAATAAAGTCCAAGCATTTATAAAGCATATGAACTGGGTACCTGGGCAAATATAAATTGAAATGATTGAAAACCTGGTAAGAAAGTCACCTCTTTTGTCTCCTCTCCTCATATACAGAGATTTCACTTCACGTGTGTCCTGTTGTTTTAGAATTGGACCATTTTTCTAGTTATCTCCTAGGGAGGAAAAAAAAAGCTAGTAAGAGCTGACTTTTCAATGTTACAAAAAAGGGGGGAGCCTCCCCGCTTTTCCTGTATGACTCGTGTTTCAAATCCAGCACCACTGGCCTCTGCAATGGTTTCAGAATTTGTGTCCTTCCTTTTGTATTAGAAACAAATGAGAAAGTGTTGGATTTTTTTTTTTTTTTTTTTCCCCTCTACTTCTTGCTGTTAAGAGATTAGCCAGAACAGGGAAAGTTTTGGGCGGCACTACATTGTGCACTTAAGTTATTATGCATGTCTGGCTATCCCTGGGTCATTCGCCAGCGGCTGAGCTCTTGCTGGCAGCTGGGTGGGGAAGCGAATAGCAGGGTCCAGCGACTCCTGTAATGCTGCAGAGCAGGATTATATAGGGTTCCCAAGAGTCCCTCTGCAGCCTGCAAGTAACTGCACTTGGAATGAGGAAGAGCGAAGACAAACGCTCCAGACCTGATAGTTTTTACCCCTGCAGTGCTCCCATTAAGAACAGAAAGCTAAAGGCTGAGTTCGTAAGATGTAGCAGGGTGTACTGTTTTTTGGGCTGGTCCTGCGCACAGCCCTGCAGTGCCCCAGATCACTGGATTTTTCCTGCCAACTCCTTCCTTCATCCCACCCCAGTTATGCAGACATTTCCCTCCTCTGTGGCTAGCAGGAAATATTTTCCTATTCCTGGCTGCTGTAGGAAGCAGCTCTCTCACCCTTTATATTTGGACAAACGAACAGTCTAGCTCAGTTTCAATTTCTCCCCTTCCACACAGCATGCACAGCCAAGCTTTCATCGTTCTCCCTCTCCAGAGCATCCAGGGGCTGAGAGGGGACAGATCTGCTTTGTGCTCCATAACCAGGCAGGATGATGGACCAGATAATTATTTGCCTAAGGAGCTACAAGACCTGCAATCTGTTTCTTACTGTGCCAATGACTCAATCTGTGACCCCAAGCAAATAATTTCCCAACCTCCAGAGCAGGGAGGCAACATGCTATTTGTTTTCAAAATGCGTCAGATGGGGTTTCAAGAAATGCAAAGTCCAGCAGCAGATCTGGAGGTATTTTGTGGCTTGTCCCTGTGCCTAGTCTTTGACCCTGGTGGAAGCAGCAGGGATAGGACCAGGACCCGCTGTATCTACAGGTCTTTGAAGAACTAACCCATCCAGAGTGGAGGCTGAGGCAGAGGGGAAATAATTTCTCCCTTCAGCAGAGGGCAGTGGTGTCTCCTGGACATCATCGCAAAACAAACAAAAAATTCACAAAGCCTGCAAACTATAGAAATCCCTCTGTCTGTCTTTTCTTCATTCTCCTCTAATCTTTTGCAGACTGGTTTCCATGGATGGTCAACGGGCAAGAACTGGAGAGTGCAACTGGTAAGTATTACAGGCATGTTATGTGCTAAAGACTGTGCATGTTATCCAGTTGTCCTACACACTTAGAGCCTGATTAACTGCAAATGCTGTTCTTTATTTCCTTGCCTCTCACATTATGAACTTGCCTTGCAGTGAAGATTAAACAAGACCTCCAAGACAAGCTGCTAAGTGTTGTGTGTTCTTTACAAATAATTCACTAGTGTTCAGTTCCTGAACACTTAGATGAAGTGCATGAGTTTATGTTCACAGTCAAGGATTGTGGGAGACCCAGGAGACCTAATAACTCTTCAGCCATGAAATGCTCAGGGAACTCTACCACTGCTCAGGAAAATCCCAAGAAAAAGGGTGCACAAGTGGCATGGTGCTTTAGCAGTGAGGCCACTGAGAAAGGACTGGTCTTTATACTGGCTGTGTTGTTGGGATGAATTGCTTTATCCCTCTGGACCTTCTTCCATTTCTGTGACATGATAAAATAAAATGAACATACGTTCACATCATGCTTCAGCACCCAGCAGGACCACAAGGGCCTGCCTATTCTTCAGACTGAAGCCCCTGGCTAAGCCATCGGACGTCTCCCAGCTATGATCCTTTCATGTACAATATCCGGGGCTTCCTGGAAAACTATTCAAAAGCCAGTCCAAAATGTGTCCACCAAGCTTCCCTTTCCTTCACACTTTATCCCTCCATCACACCTACCCCAGCTTTGCCATCAGTTGCCTTTCAAAGAAACTCATCTGCTGATGAATTTCCTCAGTCAAGGATAAGTTCTGGAGTTGCCTCGCTCCTCCTCTGCAGTGTGTGCCTCAGTCTGTCCTACTGCTGCAGGAACTGTCAGTGCCTTCGTTTCAGACGTCTGCCTTTCCCATCGAGATGCCCACAGTGGCCATATCTGAGAAGTCAGAATATGAATCCAGAGTTCAGTAAGGGTTGATGCAACATATGAACTGAGAAATCCAGTCCCAGGCCGGACGCCGAAAAGGGGGATGGATATGGGTGGGATGGGGGTACTGTGTTTGTTTGTGAATTTGCTGGATTGGACTCCGCTCATGTGTCATGAGCCTACCACGGTGGCCAAGGTAGTTCAAGCTGTCTATGGCTAGCTACATAAGGGACCACAAAGCAAAAACACGCTCTCTCAAAGTCATTTCTCTTTTCCAGGTGAGATTAGCACCGACTCTTTTATCAGCACCTCCGGTAAGCTCCTATCTCTTGGCAACTTCAGGCTTCTTTTCCCTTTCTCACCTTTACTCCTACCTACCTAGCCCCAGAAATTACCCATTATACTCTGAAACTCCTATTCTCCGCTTTTGACGTCTTCCAGCACATATGGCTATCTGGGAGTCCTTTCTGTGTCCTGTGCCGGGAGATGAATTTGGGGTGGCTTAATGGCCTGTTCTTCATGGAAATGCCAATCTCACCTGGTGTACCAGGGCTCTCTGAAGCTGTTTGCACTGCAGGAGGCCATGAAATCCAAAGCTCACGCAGCCTGGGCTTGCGGGAAGGAAAAGACTAAATGGCAAGAGAGAGAAATTGGTCAGGTTCACCAGTTAACTAGGCAGCACTGGGCCACAGATTGTGTGGGTGTCTACTGACAGCTAGCAACCTGGTGTACCAGGGCTCTCTGAAGCTGTTTGCACTGCAGGAGGCCATGAAATCCAAAGCTCACGCAGCCTGGGCTTGCGGGAAGGAAAAGACTAAATGGCAAGATGGGCTTGCGGGAAGGAAAAGACTAAATGGCAAGAGAGAGAAAGCCACAGATTGTGTGGGTGTCTACTGACAGCTAGCAGCCATGCTTGAGTGCTCAGAAGACAGAGGTGGCAAAAGACCCAAAAGCAAACTCTGAGCTTTGGTGGGATGGGGAGGTGGAAATACTGTTCTTTTAGTACTGTATTGCCTGACGTGCCTGCGGCTATGTCACTGGGGGGCAGCAAAATGTATGCAAAAGATAGAGTAGATGGAGGACACTTGAACATGAGCACTTGTAGCATGCCATGTGCCTCCTTAGAGAGCCATGCCTTGCTGTGGAGGTAGCCCCAGGGGTAGGACAAACACCTGGTGGGAGTGTAGGCATTTCCAAAATAGGCTAATCCTGCCAGACTCACAATGGCAAACAGAGGAGAGGGCCAGAGGCTCAAGAAGGAACCTCCCTGCTTTTCCCATAAGAGTCCTGTTTTGAATCTGGCAGTGCTGGCCTCAGAGATGGTTCCTCTCTCTGCTGGGGCAGTCTCTCAAACACATCCCTCTGAAGGTGGGAGGGACCAGGCAGGGCAGGGAGAAGGAGAGCACATCTGGTCGATGGTATTGTTCAACAGACAAAGGAGAAGTAGCAGCACTTGGTGGTTGCTAGGAAGTGTGCTGTCTGTGTAGGAGAGCTCATCTGAGACTGGTGTCCCATTCTCCAGGAGAGCAGTTCCACAGTCTCTCCTCTGCGCTGTGACTCTGCTCATCAGCTGGCTAAAGTACTGTGGGTCAAGCTGACCAGCTGTCATGGGACAGCACTGGAGGAGAAAAGTGGAAGCGGAATATTGTATATGCAAGGTGCATGATCTTCCTGGTGGGAATGGGAGGTGAAAGCAACCTGTGTGAGTCTCATGTTCCGTGTATGAGACCTGACAGTCTGTTGGAGGGTAGATAAGACTTGGTGTCCAGGCCAAACTGGCGGTGGTTAACCTACATCTAAACCTGGAAAAACTAAATGTGAAGCTTTTACAGCAGACTTTGGCTTCAAAATGCTTGTTGTTGAGGGATTAAGAAACTCTTGACAAAGGACATGCCATGGGACCCTCTACAGCATCCCATCAGCTCTAGGACACTCAGCCTATTCACAGGGAAAGCCTGCCGTTACTCTGACAAGTCAGATGATAACATCACAGTCAGTGTTGTCTATGAACCATATGTGGGATGGCTGCTGGTCAGGAGTGATGAGCCATCAGCATAACTGTGGGAGGGAGAAAGAGGCTAAAAACTCTAATTAAGATATTTCAGAACATCTTCTCTTTTTTCCAGCTGCAGCTGTCACACCACCTGTGCTTCTTAGTCCTGGTGAGTTTATTCTCAATTCACAGCCAAGTGTAGCAGACCCCTCTTCTGTCTCCTTGCCCAGTCCCTTGCACACCCAGGATCCTGCCTTCCCAGCCTGCCCCTAAGCACAGCCCCAACACCCAAAAGACTCCTCCTCTCTATGCCCATGTGTTTTGTCTGTGCTTCTGGCTGACACTATGGTATGTGATCAGGAGGAGTATAAGTCCTCTGTAACTGTTGATGAAAACTTGTGCCTGGCCGTCAGTCCTCTGAGTTCCTATCCAGTTGATCACTGGGTAAATAATAAAATGTACTGGTTTACTGTGGTACAGATGGGTTGCTTTGTCAGAGGGAATAACAAACCAACCTCATTTTTTCCCCTTGTCATAGATATTAAAGAACCGGTGATCTGGGGATGCTGTTTCTTAAAGTAGTCACTGTTGCTTAGGAAGAGGCAGTCACGGGCTCCTTCGCTTCTTGTCTAGATGGATAACAATTGCAGCAACTGCATACATTTACCTGATCTTTTGAATTATAAGTCAAGATGTCCTTACAGTGTAATTTTGAACAGTAGTGGTAATGCTTTATGGTAAAGCTTGGACAGATTTTTAGTTTTGTTGGCTAGGTAATTCATATTGGATTTGTACCTTCTCTTATGGTTTCAGGTCAGTAACAGTGAAATCTTTCCACATCAGAAGTGGAGGGTTCTTGCAGGAGCTTTCCAGTTATTTGTTTTGAGTATGCTGACGTCTAGGAAGGAATCATGGTAAATCACTCTAACTTTGCTACCCTCTGTCTTTCAGTTCAGTCTGACAGTGAAACTACGACGGCTTCATCAGGTACGCTTAAGTTTGCTGCTTGCACCGCCCCCCTTCCCAGACCTGCTTTCATCCACACTGTTACCTCTCCAGGCAGGTGCTGGCCGAGCACTGAGCTTTGTCTCCTGGAAAATTCCCTTCACCCTGTTCCTTGAATTAGAAGTACTGGAGAATGACAGTAGTGGAAGCTGAAGTCTTCTCCTGGGTGGCAAACCCAGGAGGGGAGGACCTGGCAGATCATCAGACCAGACAGGCTGCGTCAATATTCTGTTATTTTCAGTGTCCAAGACCTGGAATTTCAGAAGGAAATTCAAGAAAACCCACCATAGTAGCTATGGGGTTCATTGGCCAGAAAAGAAAGGAACTGGCTTTGTGTCCTGAAGTGTGAGATTGCTGATCTATTAGAAACATGTCTTAAGCATGTGACTACAATTTACGTTTTGTTTACTTGTGTCTGTCCTCTTTACAGTACGTGCCTTCTGTATTGAGGACTCCCAGTGGGCTTGTTTTGCACTTCACTCAACTTCCCCTTACTTTTGTCTTAGAAGCAAGGGGATCAAAAATATCTGCCTTATTTTCCTCTTCTGTAAACCATCCCCATCTCTCACAAGAGAGTGGAGAATAGAGGCTAGGGTCCTCCCCTAGAAGCCTGGAGGGTAGTACCTAATGACGAAGTTACATGCGTGCCAGAATGAGTGCATCTGCCGATGATGCTGGATTGCACCCCTGTGTGTGTGTATGTGTTCCCAGATTGTCGTGAAGAAAAGTTCCCTTGCACACGCCTGTACTCTGTTCACAAACCAGTAAAGCAGTGTATCAGCTACCTCTGTGTTACAAGGTAAGAAACCAGCAGTCCCTAAGAAAAGCCCTAAAACCTCTCCAGAAACGACATGTCCAGTTCAGCAATTGTTTCCTTTGAAGACTAGAGGTTCCCTCAGGGAACCAGTTGGTGACATGAATCCCATCCTTAGAGTGTCCTTTTAGGGTGATTAATTAAAACTACACAATAACTATTATTTGTGCAGCACTAAGGAGCTGTAATGTGCCCCATATTGTAATCCATATTTTAGATATTTGACCATTTAATGAAGTCTTGATAAAGGTTGTTTTCATTGACAACAGCCTTATTGTGGACCAACTAATCCTAAAAATTTAGGATTTGCCTCCTCATCAGTGAATATACATGTTTATTGCCTCTATCCCTTTTTTGTTTCTTTGGGTCCCCGTGCCTTTCTCTACTGTCCTTGACGTGCTCTTGCTGATCCCTCAGTGTGCGTCGCATGTACATAATAAACAAGGAGGTGTGCTCTCGCATTGTCTGCAAGGAGAACGAGGTCATGCAAGGTGAGTGATAGCACAAGCTAGCCTAGAAAAATAGCTGCAGCCATGTAATAGAGCCTCCAAGCTAACCAATTACCCAACTCCAATCCATATGTAGTAGCTTCCCCGGACTTGGCTTGGGGGAGCTCTAATGCAATGCAGCCTTGCATCCAGTATGCGTGCTGTGAAGAAACACTGGGAAGTAGATATCGTACTAGCAAGAGGTATGAGAGCTCTGCCTTCCTCTTAATCATGCTCTACTAGCCCCAGACACACCTTTACTCAAAGTAGCATTCCTTTGAGGTTAAAGAGTAACTCTCAGTATTTCTATTTGTGAATAGAAACAGGATCTAGTCTAGATTTCTTATGCAGTCTTTGTTGCAACAAAATATGAGTGATTTTAATATGTATTGTACATGAATAAAGCCAGAAGGAAATGAATAAAGCCTAAGGACTTGTTCACTTGCCTCAGGTATATGAGGTTTCAGCAGTTCCAACAGTTTCTGTAAATGCAGTGAAGGACGTACCTCTAACTGTTCTGGTGGTGAAGAACTTGAAGGAAGTATTGATTATCTGTCAACATGTGTGTGTTTGCTATGTCTTCAGATGAGATCTGTCGCCAGCTGGCTGGCCTTCCTTCTCGACGTCTCCGCCGGTCTGGGCAACCCCTGCACCTCCCTTGCAGAGGGCTTCTGGAGCAGCAGCGCAGAAGGCCTGATGCTCTGTGAGATACCAACAGGAGGAGAGAAAAGGAAGGGAGAGAAGAGAAATCGTCATCCACTACCTACAACCCAAGACAAGTCCTTCTCACTTGTGATTTCCCCCCCATTTCCTTGCTTCTCTGCCTTCCCCCACATCCTCTTCTTCAGGTGCTGCAGCACACTTAGTCCCCTGTCTGCTAGACTGTCATGGTGGCTGTTGTCACCTTCTAAATCTGTTGCTGAGGATGTGGGATGCTCCCCTCTTTTCTCTCAAACTCTGCCTGGCAGGCCACAAACTGCTAATTTCCCAGAGGTCCTTATAAATGTACTGCATCTTCTCTTGCTTTGCCCCTGTAGAGAGACATGCATGGGGACAGGATGTAGTCCTCTCCAACAGTACAGATTGCCTAAGCTGCGTCTTGTGGAGGAGTGCAAACCTTTGAGCCCTAGGACTGCTGGCCTAGGTTTCTTGCATGGCATCAGTATGAGTTCGGATGTGGTTAGTCAGCCTGAGCCTCTCCAGTCTTCCTGAGCCAGAGTTTGCTGTGTGATAGCACAGTCTCCTCCTGCGTCTGCTGGCCTCAGAGAAGTGACAGAACTGGGAGATGAGCTGTCCTCAACCCAAGGCAAACCTCATTGTCCCTGTATGGCAGCAGATCATTTATAACTACCTCTGGGAAGTTCTTTGTCTTAAGCCCATTGCCTCCCTCATACACAACTGCTACTGAAAGGAAGAATTCTGGATTTGATATGGCATTATATTTTTCTCAAGAAGATGATGTTGGAACAGAGTGCTGCCTCTTCCTCTCCTTCCTCTCCTCTCCCCTGTTCTGTCCCTCCTTTCCTGTTGAAGAAATCTCTTGATGCCCATTCCAGGCAAGTTCCAGGGAGCAGGAATTATGGCTGCCTCTGATCCTGAGCCCAAGAGAGACCATGAAGAACCTGTGTGTCCTCACAGAACTGGGAACTTGCAATGAATTAGCTTGTCCTGGTGACTTGTCTTGGTCTGGCTACCTCCAAACTCTCCAGTTGCTGAGCCTGCTTTCCATATCTCCACTTGAGTTCCTACCTCCTGACCTGGGAGCTCCTGCACAAAGCAGAAAGGAGTCACAAATTGGAATGGGATGTGGGAGAAGAATCATTATCTGGGATCCCTGCCTGGGTTTTCCTGCAGGTTTTCTGGCTGTGCTGACCTGCACAGAGCCAGGTGCTGGGGGGAGGTAGACACATCTGCAGGTATAAGCATAGAGGCAGGCCAACCTGGGGAAAAGAATTCACCCTGGTAGCACTGGATGTCTGTGGTCTGCTCGAGAACTTTGTTTTCCAGATATATGGAAAACATTTCCAGGTATATGGGCAGTTACCACCGTGAGACTGGGTAGGGCAAGTGGGGAAGAGCTGTCTGAAGTGTATTAATCACCCTGCATGACTCTTAGTGGCATGATTCTGTGGGGCATGTGAGCTAAGCAGCTTAGCTCACTGCAGCAGATCAGCAAGACCCTGTCTTCAGGATATCTAAGTGTTGTTCCTGACTAACAGAAAGCTGGTTTGCTAGAGCAGGCACTCACCTCCCTCATATCATGTACTCTGCTGCTGAACTGAGTGCCATTCAACCTTGCAGGAGCACTGGTCGTCTGCACAGAGCCAGGGTCACACAATATAGGGGACAGTTCGCTGCACAGAGGCAGATGTCTCAGAAAAAAAAGAGCGAAACAATTAATGTAAGAGCCTCTCCCCAGGACTTGGATTTCTGTTTTATGCAGCAAGAAGCTGGTTACATTCTCTGGGTAGGGGAAGACACCCCTGTACAGACACAGATTGTTTCTATATAAGGTCAAAATTGGCCATAGATGGGCTAAATCTCTCTGTATTAATCCACTATACAAAGGAAAGGATTCCAAGCTATGCGGTGACTGGAATTTCATCCTATACATAGGGGCATAGCACCCCTACACAGAGGGTGATTCTCCTCTTGAGTACTTGAGGCGTATGAGGCTAGGGATGGAGGAGGAATTTCTCTGTACTAAGAGTATGCACGTTTCTGTAGAGAGGGGGGCACTGAGAGCTTGGTCTTGAAGACATTCAAGCCACTGGCAGCCACTGACTTCTATGGTGGGACACCTGTAGAATTTGCCTGTGTGGAGGAAGGTAGGAGGGACATGAGATGTTAGAGGGAGCTCTTGGAAATTGGACTAGGCCAAGTCACCACCCTGTATTTAGAGTTGAATGTAAGCTGGTATAGATATAGATATATAACTGTATAACATAGCTACTGTACAGTATATAGAAATTTGACATTCATACAATTTGGGCAATGGTTAGAAATCTTTCTGTTGCTTGCTTTCAGCAGGGACAGGAAAAGGTGCTCCTCTCCAGGAGAACGCTATTTTAATGCTAGAGTCCTTATAATGCACACAAAAATATTAAAAGAAAATTTATTTCCTGTTATTCTTGGCAACTCATGTGTTTGGGTTTGTTTGTCTCTAGCTGTATTTGACTGGTGGGCAGACATTACCCCAGCCCAAATCGGGTTTTTGGACCTCTTTACTCCCTGCTAGCCCAGTCCTCCACTGCCACCCTCCCTTCCTGGGAGGTCATTTCTAGAGATACAGAAAATCAGCATTTTTTTTTTTTCCATGGATAGTTTTGCTAGATTTTCCTGGCAGTTGATAGCTGCTGAGCACAGGGTTAACTCCTCCCAGCCCATGAGATTTGTGCTGAGAACACATCTTTTCACTGCCATGACTTGCTGGTGGAGAATTACCATCTCCAAGTAAAATGATAAGATGGCTGAAGAAAGAGAAGAGTTGTGATATATCATCTCATAAGCAAAGAATAATTTGTTCGCTAGAGCCATTTAGCTCGGTAATGGGAATAACTGAAAGACTACATTAAAAATTACACTTCTAGGTAAAAAGGATTAGGACAATTCTTCATCATTGAATTTCTGACTTTTGCATAGATTCATCAGGCACTAAGTATATATCATATTCTTGTTGAAAAGATGGAGCCCTCCAAGCACGGGGGACTCTAGGCAGTGTCTTCATGTGCAAGCAGTCAAATCTGTGTTTAGATGGTATTTCTAGAACAAAAGTGGCGGTGGCCCAAATTACCCATTAAACTGCCTCTAACAGTGTCCCATAGTTCTTCAGGACCGAACCACACAATGCAGGTTATTGCACAACACTATCCCTGAGAATAATGCTCCTTCCTGGCTCACGCTGCGGTGTCCCTATCTTGGACTGTTACAATTAAAAGCAGCCTCAGCCTGAGTGACTGTAGGTGTTGCTCCGATCTAGACAGACCTGCACTGACTCATGAATTCCTGTCCTATTGCCATGTTCCGCGAGCTGTGGGGGCAGAGTACCGCACACGCCATTGATTTTTTGTAACTGAGTTTATGCTTCTCTTTCCTTACACTACTGAGATCCACATACAGGCTTCCCCATCTTCATTAGCGTTTATCCCATACACACATTTCTCTCCTCTGCCATTCCAGCCTAAATTGTCGTGGTGCTCCGTCACCACTCTTCAGACATTGCCTGTTCTCAGCACTTTGCTTATGTTGCCTTCTCTTGTAAGTTGGGGAAATGACTTTAAATATAGCTCCAACTAGGTCTAGTTTCTCGTGAAGTTGGGCAAGCCACAAAGAAAGCTGCCAGAATCCCATTTTAGAAGTATGATCTAGAGTTTGTGGCTGATTTTCATAAACTCTTCTGACCTGGGATGGGAGTTAGATGGCCTGCAGTCACTGCCCACACAATGGTTCTTGCTTATTTTGCTGTCACAGCTCCCGAGTACCAATCAGTACAGCAGTTTGAAAGTTGCTGTTTCAAGGCCAGTGCTCTGTTGCCCGGTCCCCAATTTGAAGCGGTACCTCACTTTGCTGAGTGTAGGGAGCTGGAGCTCCCCTCAAGGGAAACTGGCCACACCAGGGGCTTTCTGCTGCACCTGGCAAGCAAGGGTTGCTCCACCTTCCCGTCTGTCCTTCTCCTCTTTGTTCTCTGCCTCTGTTTTCCTCATCTCTTCTTATGCCTATGTTCATCTTGGAGCAAGAAATACAGTGAGGAGGACAGCGGGGCTGAAGTGGGATGGCAGGAAGGGTGCTCGCTGAGGTGAAACACAGCATTGCCAAGTGGAGCTTGGGGAGTGCTTGGCCCATGCCAGCTCTCCTTTTTTCTCTTGCCCTCCAGTTCTCACGCGCTGTGGCTCCCTCAGCTGCCAAGCTCAGGATTTTTTGAACGGCAGGATGTGCTGGTCAGAGCAGGGAGGGGAGAATGGTACCTCAAGACAACTTGTGCACTGTGGGAACAGCAACCACATGCCTTGATGTGGTGGCCCCTGCTTGCAGAAACAAGGTGGAGAGGAAGGGGAGTGCTGTGGAAAATCATGGGGAGGCAATTGGGAGCAGCTGCCACGTCACCTGGAAGCTCCATGTTGCCTGGATCTTGTCCACAAGAACCCACAGTATGAACAAAACCTGTTGTTTATTCATGGCACCACATGTTCTGACATTGTATATTCATGTACATTTGTCCAGTTGTGAACAGCCCCTCTACTGGGATCTGAATTCCATTTCTGCACCTCCTCTTCACCTCCTGCTCTCTGATATTCAGCATATTGCTTCGTTTCTCTCTGTTCCCTGCCATCCTTAGCCCTTTTAATGGAGCAAGCAGGAATAAACTCCCACAAAAGAGAGAGCTGGATTTTAGTCCATTAAAAAGTAAAAAATAAAAAAGCGTGTATGAAACATCATGAATGAATTTGATTGTCTACTTTTTCTATTAATGTAAATGTTTTTTTCAAATAAAAATATTTTCAATAATATAAATCATATCAGTTAAAATATAAGCTGCATGTACTTGTTTGTACTATGTTGACATCTACAAAAAAACCTGAATTGGTGAAAATCACGAGAACAAAGCTTCATTTAATGAAAAAAATATCTTTCAGAATGCTGTTTTGGGCATTTTACTAAGATTGCAATTTCCATGCAAGCACAGCCTGTCACACATTAGACATTAACAAAAAGATGTAATAAATAAATATATGCAATTCAATGTGTCTAAGTAATAAGAAATGTGAGAAGTCACCTGCTTAAATATAAGAATAAATGTACATGAGGTTGTGCTTTTTTTGAAATAAATATCCTTATTGAGATAGTATGCCTTCCCAGTTAAGATCGTAGATAAAAGTTATGGTGAAAGTTAGGAAGCAGAGCTAACTTC